GGCCAGGCTGGGATGGGATGGAGCAGCGAGGGCTGGGAGCGCAGGGACACGGGGAGCACAGGGACACGGGGAGCACAGGGACACAGGGAGCACAGGGACACGGCGAGCGCAGGGACACAGGGAGCGCAGGGACACGGGGAGCACAGGGACACGGGGAGCACAGGGACACGGCGAGCGCAGGGACACGGGGAGCACAGGGACACAGGGAGCGCAGGGACACGGGGAGCACAGGGACACAGGGAGCGCAGGGACACGGCGAGCGCAGGGACGCGGGAGGCGCAGGGGCCGGTGGCCGCGGGCGCCGCTGACGCTGCCGTGCCCGCAGGGAGCGAGGTGGCCCAGGAGAGCCTGCTGCTGCACGGCCCCTTCGCCCGCAAGCCCAAGCGCATCCGCACGGCCTTCTCGCCCTCGCAGCTGCTGCGCCTCGAGCGCGCCTTCGAGAAGAACCACTACGTGGTGGGCGCYGAGCGCAAGCAGCTCGCCAGCAGCCTCAGCCTCTCCGAGACCCAGGTACGGCCTCCGTCCATGGGGATTGCGTCCGGAGCGCGCGGCTCGGGGGGTTTGATTCGCAGCTGGACCGGCTGTCGGGAGCGAAGCCGCGTTTTAGCATCCGCATCCCCCGCGACGGGGTGGCCGCGGCTGCAACCGCAGCTGCTCCCGCCGGCTCCTGCACTTTGCTCCCGGTTCCTGGTGCTTTGCTCCCATTTCCCTGCACTTGACCACTATTTCTTGGCACTTTGCTCCCGTTTCCTGGTGCTCTGCTCCCATTTCCAGGCACTTTGCCCTCTTTCTTGGCACTTTGCTCCTGTTTCCCAGTGCTTTGCTCCCATTTCCAGGTACTTTTCTCCCGTTTGTTGGTGCTTAGCTTCCGTTTCCCGGCTTGTTTCTCCGTAAAAGCCAGGCAAGAGACCCCAGCCTGTTGTAGCCAGGGCTCGCTCATTTTATGGAGAAAAAAAATCTTCTCCTGGGCATTTRCCCTGCGGCAGAAGGAGAGGTGCAGCTCTGGAGGGATGGGAGGGAATGACGGAGCACACGGGAAAAGCGGCAATTGGAGAAAACAGGGGCTAGATGGAGAGCACCGAGGTGGGCACCCGAGGCYGCGATCCCGGCGGGAAGATGCCGCATTGCCCCTAATATTCAGCAACGTAGTTGGCTACCGATGGAGAAAATTCCCCCCCRTTTGAGCCGGGAGATTTTTGGCCTCTTTCCCAAATCCATTTAATTTCTAAATGCTCCCGGCCCAGACCGAGCGACCACTTTTCACCGCTGCTCAGGGCCCTCCCTAAACGGTGCCAAGGGGGAAAACCCATGGGGACAAACGTCGGAGCGGCCGCTCCGGAGCGGCGGCGCGGAGCCTCCGCTCGCTCGGGCCCTTTGTGCCGCTGCTGCCCGGCGGTGGGTTGGGGCTGCGGCAGCTCCCGCGGGCCGCGCGTTAATTCAACTTTGCAGAGCGCTCGGCGTCGTTCGGGAAGGCGAGCGCTTTGAGCGCGTCCCGGGGCGGGTGTAATCAATGTTGGTGCCCCGAGGGAGCTGCTGGAGGGGCACAAACCCGCCCTGGAAGCCGGGGCTGCTCCGGGCCCGTGCCGGGAGCGCTGGGGGTTCACGGAGCTCCCGGGCGGCCTCGGGGCTGCTGCGTGACCTGCGGCAGGAGCCACCTCGGCGCTGGTGGCAGTGGCTGCCGGTGTCCTGCGGGACACAGGGATGGGAGCATCCCGTGGTGCCGGCCGCCTGCGGCCCTCCGGGCACCGGCTGCATCCTGGGCACCGGCTGCATGGAGCCTGTGGCATCCCAGGCACCGGCTGCATCCCGGGCACCGGCTGCATCCTGGGCACTGGTTGCATGGAGCCCGCGGCATCCTGGGCACCGGCTGCAATCCGGGTATCAGCTGCATGGAGCCTGCAGCGTCCCGGGCCTCTGTTGTATCCCAGGCACTGGCTGCATCCCGGGCACCAGCTGCTTAGAGCCTGTGGCATCCCAGGCAGCTGCTGCACCCTGGGCATCAGCTGCATCCCGGGCACCAGCTCCATGGAGCCTGCAGCATTTCAGGCACTGGTGCATCCCAGGCTCCTGCTGCACCCTGGTGCCAGATGCATCTCAGACACCAGCTCCGTGGAGCCGGTGGCATCCCGGGCACCAGCTGCATCCCGGGTCTCAGCTGCACAGAGCCTGCGACATCCCTGGGCACTGGCTGCATCCCAGGCACCGGCTACATCCCATGGTGCCGGCTGCACGAGTGTCCTCAGCATCCCGAATCCAGGATGCTGCATCTGCATCCGCGCTGCATCCATCCCGGCACAGGCTTCCCATCCAAAGCACCAAGGGTGGGAGCTGAGGGACTTTCCTGGGTGAGGAGTGAGTGTCCCCGAGCCTGGAGACCTGTCACCTCGCTGGGCGGTTCAGCCACCACCCTGGGCAGCAAAAGGCAGCTCCTGCAGCTGGACACGACGGCCACGGGGAATGTGCCCAGGCACCAGGGCGAGGGGCACCGCGCCACGCTCCTGCGCTCGGCGCCATCGTTGGGGCAGGCGCGGGCCTCCCTCTCACCSCTTTGGCCAGGATTTGGGGCAGTTGCGGGTGTTTTGGGGGCAGCTGTGCGTGTTTTAGAGGTGATTGTGGGTGTTTTGGGCACGGTTGTGCACGTTTTCGGRGCGGTTGTGGGTGTTTTGGGGCGGTACGGGGGGACGTTGCCGGTGTTGTCACCCTGGCCCACCGCCTGTCCCCCCGCCGCAGGTGAAGGTGTGGTTCCAGAACAGGCGGACGAAGTACAAGCGGCAGAAGCTGGAGGAGGAGGGCCCCGAGGCGGACCAGAAGAAGAAGGGCTCGCACCACATCAACCGATGGCGCCTGGCCACCAAGCAGGCGCCCGGCGACGACATCGACGTCACCTCCAACGACTAGGGCGGCCGCGGCGCCCCGCGGCACCCGCCATGCCCCGCGCGCCACACGGACCCTAGGCCGCCCGGCGGCCCCGGCCCGGCCCGGCCGGCGCCAGCGACAGCAGCAGCAGCAGCAGGAGGAGGAGGAGGAGGCCGAAGGGCGCCCCGCGCGACGCCCGCCTCCCAGCTGGACGCCGGCCGCGAGCTCCAATAAAACGTCCTACCTAGACGCTCCATGTCCCCAACCCTTTTTCTTTCCTGTTTTTATTTTCTTTCCCATTTTTTCCCCTTTCTATTCCCCCCCCCCCATTTTCCGCTTCTTCCTTTTTTTCTCTCCTTTTTTTCCTTTTTTCCTCTCCTGTTCTTTTTCGTCTTCTTTCCTTGTCCCCCCGCCAGCCCCGCGGTTCCGCGGTTAATTTATTCTCCCCGTGGCTGTGTGCGTGCGCTCCCCGTCGTAGGTAGCCGGCAGCTCTAGTGTGTGTTACTGCGTGGAAATAAAAAGCGAAACGGGCTCGAGGCCTCTCTGCGCCCCGCGGGGATTTGAGGGAAAACGGCGGCGTTTTGGTGGTGAATGCGGCGGCAGGGGCTGCACTAAGCCGGGGTCCCCCGATGCCGCTGCTGGAAGCCGGGATGCCGGCGGTGGCTCCGGGAAGCACCGTGGATTGGCTGGCTTCAGAGCAGCCGTTTGGCCTGGGAGGACGAGGAGCAGCAACGGGACAAGGTGACGCCAGGGAAAACCTCCCGGAGCAGCAGATTTGGGAGATTTGGACCCAAATACATTGTCCAACCCGGCCCCAAGAGCCATGGAGCTCCCTGCAGTCCCCCTGCYGCGGCAGGACACAGCACCTCGGGTTTCACCCCAATGGGATGATCCCAAAATCACCCGTGGAAAGGGATTTTGGGCCATCCAAGTGGTCCTGGGGTTGGCAAACGTCCCCCAGGATGGCAAGGATGTCCAGCAGGATGGACATCCTTGGGGATGGACGTCCGYAGGGAGAGTGGGAAGGGACGCTGTGGGGATGGAAATCTGCATTGAAGAATATCCATAGGGATGGATGTGCGCAAGGCTGGAGGGGATGGATGTCCACAGGGCTGGAGGGGGGTGATATCCACAGGGATGGACGTCTGCAGGAAGGGATGTCCCCAGGCTGGTGGGAATAGATTCCTGTGGGGAAGGACATCCATGGGAATGGACACCTGCAGGGACGGTGTCCGTGGGGCTGGCGAGGACAGATCTCTGTGGGGCTGGGAAGGACGATGTCCGTCGGGAAGCGTGTTGGGATGGACAGACATCCATGGGGCCACCAGAGCAGGGGGGACCAGACGGGCCCGGGCGGAGGGACAAGGACGTCCCTGATGCCGAGGTTCCCACCCGCCCATCCCACCTTCCCAGGACACCCCAATAACCAGCAGCCTTTAAACGCATCCGCTTTTTATTCCCGACGTTTAGAAGTGTTACACACGGGGGGCGGCCGGGAGCGACCCCAGCCCCTCGGGGGGCACTGGAAGACGTGGGGCCTGGGGCTCCTGGCTTCATCCCAACACATCCCGACATCCGTGAGCACTTGGGAGACGCCGCCGGTGACGCCGGCCGCAGGGACCGGCCTGTCCCCCCGCTGCTCCCGCACCGGCTCCGTTCGTTAGTGCATTAGGGAAGGTGAAGCGATTAATTAGCTATTAAGTGGAGGCGCGGGATGGTGGCATCGGTAGCTGCTGTGCGTGCACGCTTATGGATTTTTCCTTTTTGCTTTTTATGGTGCAATTTGCTGCCCTATGGAAGAGCCGGCTGTGCTGCCGCTCCCTTGGAAAGCCAGTGGCATTTCGGGGCCCCRAAATGCCACAAAATCCCTCGGGAAGAGGTTCTTGGCCTCGGCCTGGGGGCTCAGAGGCGCCAGGGGCGGATGCTGCGACACCAAGGCCTCCTCCGGGCGGGATGCTCCGGTTTCCCGGGGACTCGGGCATCGCTTCAGCCGGCGCAGAGCGCGGGCGGCCGCGGGGCCGCGACGGGGCCTCCCCGATGGCTTCGATTCCCTCCCTGATTGTTCGGATGGTCTCTGCGAGGTGGGACGAGACGTGGACAGCAGAGCCGGGGCTGGTGCCTCTCCCGCGGGCTCACCAGGACGGCGCCCGAGCGGGATCCCTAGGGAGACGTCCCCGCGGGCCGCCCGGCGCGCTCCTCAGCTACGGCGTGTGAATGCAGATCGCTAACGTAAAACTTACTTTGAAGGTTAATCGTCCCGCCGGGGCGGGGGTGTCAGTTCTCGGCAAGCGTTAGATCCCTCCCGGAGCGCCGGGAGCTGCTCCGAGCTGGGGCTGCTCGGACCCCGCTGGGGGTTTTCTCCTCGATCCGGAGCGTCCGGCCGCGGCGGCCGCGGGCGCTCACAAGCCCTTGTTGTAGACGACCGTCTTGCTGCTGGTGGCCGCGACGATCTCGGGCTCCAGACGGGCTGTCTCGATCTGCACGAGGACAGAGGAGGGGACATCAGTGTCCCTTGCACCAGACACACCTGACAGGATCGCACCGATGCCCGGCGCGCTGAGCCGCGGGACGGAGCGGAGCCGCGGGAACGTCCCGCGCGCCGCCGCCATCCGCAGCGTCCCGGCGCAGCCGGCGCCTCGGCGGCGCCGCGCGGAGCCCACGTTCGGAACGGGAGCGCTTCGGAAAAATGTTTAACCTAGTTAGACAAATTAGCAAAAATTTGTGCAAAACAATTTAGGTATTTAAAATATTCAATGTTTTTAAAAACTGGAAAAACTGTTCTTAGCTTTCAGCTGCAAAAACCCAACAAAATATAACATCAAAGCAATCTTAACATGAGGTGCAACATAACCCTTCAGCAAAGCTGTTAAACAGCTACTGAGGCATCACGGGAAATAGCACTTCATTTATTCAAATGCACATATGTCAGGTTTTTGCACCATATGTCATTCCAAGCTATTTACAGTAATAATTAAATCTTAATCAACGTTTAACCTCTGTAAAATGTTTGAAGGGATCTAATCACCCTTCAGACTGCACTAATGAAGGAGAAATATATAAACATAAAAAGAAAATGATGCGGAGATAGCGCACCAGAAAGAACAGTAATTGCAAAAGTGTATTTCTCCGAAATATAATCAGCAAATTATGTAAAGTAAGCCAGCGAGTATTTTAAGTGAAGACATCTTGGGTGTCAGAGGTGTGATCAGCTAATTTTGTACTGCTATCCATAACAGATGTAGCATATTTTCTTTTGGTGCCATTATTAGCAACTTCGCCGGTGCTGCCGGTGCCGCAGCCCCCAGCGGCGCCGCGCGAGGGGGGCGCCTGGCCGGCCCCGGCAATCCGGGGCTCTCCTCGCGCTCCCGCTCCTCTTCCCGGCCTCCTTCCCGCAGGGAAAAATCCCCCGCGGGAGACGGGGAAGAGGCCGCGTGCGGACGGCCCCGTCCTGCGGTCTGGTGGGGTCAGGGTTGCGTTGGGAGGGGAGTTTCAGCCCTATTGGGTTGGGGGCTCTTCCAGTTGTTGGATCCTTGGCCATCTCATGGAGATGCTCCTATCCCTACACCGCTGCAGTGGACACAAGGACGGCGTCCAAGGCAAGGTTTGGAAGTGGTTCCCAAAGCACTGAGGAGCTTCTGGAGGTTGGGCTTGACTCACTTTCTTGTGTCCCAGCTTCAAAGAGACCAGAGCAGGGGGCTGTGTTGGTCAGGAGAAGCAGAACCCTTCCCGAAGGAGATGCCAGCCATGGAAGGCACCAGGAAGGCATCACAGAGGGTACCGTGAAGGACGGCTGCTCCTTGTCCTTCCAAAGGCAGCGCTACCATTAGCCTGGCCATGAGCTCTGCCCATCCTCTTCCTCCTGAAGAGGAAGACCTACTTGTGCCGCCGGAGCAAAGGACGGGTCCCCTTCCTGAGCCGAGACGACCACGCTGAGGTGCCCGACACACAAGCCTGTCAATGATGATGAGGGAAGGCTGTGCTGGGATGGGAGCCCCSGGAGCAGGGGAAAGGCTGCTCTTCCCTATGGAGCATCTTTCCGAGCACATGGGCAGAGGTGGCCAGGACTGCTCCGGATGCCCCCAGCTCTCACTTGGAGGGGGACCCTTCCCCTTCCAGCACCTCCCCAAGGATGTTAGGGAGGAAGAAGCAGGATGCAACCGCTGGCCTTTTCCAGGAGTGTTTGGAGTCAGCAGCACCGAATCCCAGAATGGTTGAGGTTGGAAGGGACCTCGAGAGACCACCCAGTCCAACGGCAGGCCCACCTTGCCGATACCCATCCCTACCGGGGAGCAGCGAGGAGACCTCCCCGTGTCCTCCTGGCCGCGGGAGCTGCACCTCTCATCAGCACCAACGGGGCTAATTGGGGTGACGAGGAACCGGCTTCCGTGGGCTGCCRGAACAAACGGCTCGGCGGCGGCCACCGCTGCGGCCAGGCAGCAGCAGGCAGCAAGCAGATGCTTTTTGTTTGGGGTTGATACTCATTGCAATCCCAGCTCGGGGAAAGGTGTGGAGAGGAATGTGCTCCGGAGAGCGCACGGAGAGAGATAGGTCTAGGCGCGCTGCCAGCGCGCCGGTAATGATATGGGAGGCAGCTAGGGGAGACAGGAGCAGATGGATTTGGCATACAGCTCCTCGCGGAGCCAAAAGGAAACGGCGGGGAAGGAGGTAGGAAGCAGCCAGTTTGGGTGGGGGGGTCCCATGGACTGCCGGGTGCTGTGGCGGGAGGAGGGGGAAGGCGTCGTCTGGCTGGTCACGCTCATGTCCCTTGGGAAGGAGAGCGGGAAGGTCTCCTTGGGAAGCGTCACCCTCATGTCCCTTGGAAGGAAGCCACCGTGGGCTCCTGCAGCTCCAGCACGGTGGTTCATGTCAACCTGCTCTGCCCAGGGCTCCTCTGCGCAGAAGAAGGACCTTGGTGGCCTGGTATGACATCATTAGTTGGGGCAAAAGAACCCAGAAACCAGAAAAACTTGGGGGTTTTAGTTCATTCTTGTTCCCGCAGCGGAAGTGCCTAAACGTTCTTGCTTTCTGGTATCTCAGATCTTCTCTTAATTGACAGTAGTTGAAAGAACACTAATAGGACCCAAACTGCAAATCTGTGCCGGAACTTGCACTTATTTTTGTAAGGCTTTCCAAAAACAGAAAAATGAAAATGAATGATTCGAAGACATCATTATTTTCCCCTCCTCCGCTCTGATAAACTTCTTGGAAACTTTTCCTACACTCTCAAGAATTACAAAGCCACTTGTTTAGCCTCAAGATCAGGAAACTGGGATTTCCTAAAGATCACTGCTTGGAAAGGCTACGGTGACAGGGGACCAGCAGGTAAAACCAGGTCGAGGCCATGGTAAAACCAGCTCAGACCAAGGAGCTCTCTGCAACTGTCTTCCCATGAAAGATGTTCAAGTAGGATCAACCCACGTCTCTGCTAATGTTCAGAGCTAAAAACTCCTCTGTCTTCTCCTCTGTGAGGTTATCATTTAAAAAGAGGACGTTGAAGCTCTTTCCTGACCTCTTTCCAGTTTTCCAACATACTTAAGAAACTATGCACCCGGCAACTGGACACACTGGTTGCGAGCCGGTCTCATGACTAATGTTTGCAGTGATAAATAACCGAGTCAGAGCCCGCTACACGGCTTGCTGGCCGAATGACATTGCTGGGGGGTAAGGATTTTGAGCAAAACCTGAATTCCGCTTGGCTTGCTTTCAGAATAGCACCAGAAGCGGAACTGGAGCTCGCCCGCAGCTCTTCCTCCCCGTCGGGTTTGTTTGTTTGTTTGTTTTCCCTGAGTCTTTTAAACTCCCCCTTGCAACGGCTGGATCACGGAGTAAAAGCATCACGCTGAGTCAGCAAACCTGAATGTTGTCCCCAAATGCATGTGAGTGAGTTATTCAGCTCCTGGATGTTGGCTAAGATATTATTCCCCACCACCTCTGCTTTGATCCTTGCCTTTTGTCTGACTCCTTGAGGAATTTCAAGCAGGGAMTGACGTTCCCTAAGCGCTTGCAACGCGCTGGCTGGGACAGCAGCAGGCAAATCCCAGATGTCCTTCCTTAGCCCATGCAGGCGGATGCAGCACGTCGGGCAGCTCTGGAGCAACCTATGCAGAAGTGGAGAACCTCGCAYGGACTTACTGCTAGGAATAAAGTCACGGCACAGCCTCACCCCAGCTGATGAAGACCATAAATGCAATTCATCTCGGGATGCATCGCTCCGGGAGGGCAGCTGCTCTCGGGTCTACGCCTGCCAGCTGAAGCCTCCCTCTTCCACACGTGTTTCGGAGTGAAACGCAGCCAGGAGCGGATAAGGATGAGCAAGGAGACAAGGTGTTCAGGGCTGCGCTTGATCTATACCACCCTTCTACTGCCACAGGAGGGGATTCACATGTAACTCTGCATGGGTGRAGAGCAAGGAGCTACGAGACAACCCAAGTCTATGGCCTGACTGCAAATCTGGAGCTAGTGAGATGTGTCTAGCAGGTGGGTAATGTGTTTTAAATTGCTGCAATGGAGTAACTCAGCGGCGGGTTTCACACTGACGACTGGCTCTGCGCTCAGAGCTCTCTGGGGGGGTTTATCCCTTCTCTGCAGACACTAAGCCCAGCTTAGTGTCCAAAGTGTGAGATAGAAATATGTTGCCTCCCCGTAGGACCTGGGGTCACTTGAAACCAGCTAGTGCAGGGTCTCCTAAGTGGCCTTGGAAGAGGCAACATCCAGTGCAGGCTTCAAAACCTGCCCAAGAAATGGGGCAGATAGAGGTGCTGCAGCCTCTGATCTAGTCATGACACCAGTAGCAGCTTCTGACCAGCTTCTGACTAGCTGATTTGGGTGCATTTAACCTCAGATCGGGCATCTCTGCAACTGGCATTAAAAAGTGCCATCCCTTGAAATTCATTTAATCTTCATTTTCTCTCCCCTCCTTGAGAAAATAAATGTTAGCACCAGGAGGATAACTGAAATATTTGCCCATCCGAGCTCTTGAGGGTTTTCCATTTAAGAAGGGTGTTTTTTATTCTTTCTGCCTGGTTCCTGCTATGAGTGTGCTGACCACCAACATCCCCCTCCATCTGCCCGTGGGACAGGGCAGGAAACAGAGGCTCTCCTCAGACGAGGCTGGAAAGGGTCTACACGTGGCAACTCTCATCACCCTGCTATGGTATCTGCCAGATACCACAGCGTGTCAGCGAGGGCGTTAGTGCCACAAGCTCTTTGCACCCTCTCACATCTGCTGACACCTCGGCAGTGTCCCCTGCGAACTGCTTTAACAGAGCCTGAAATGCAGATTGTCAGCAGCAACTTGGTTTATGTATAGAGAGGAGCAGGAAAATTCCTCGTGCTCCTCAGATGTTGGGCCAGGGATGCCCAACTGCCTCCGATGCAGCTGCAAGGCTCGAGGAGCATCTGCCCTCACCTTAACCRGAGCCTGGGCTGTGCCCCGAAGCAGGACGGGGGAGGCTGCAGGATTTATGGGGTCAGCACG